TGACCTCTATACAAAGCAGAAGTTGAACAGCAATGAAAAAGCCAGAATGAGCAGTTCAGTAAACTGAATCCATAGTCTTCATTGCTTTATTTCCTTCATTTCTGTGCTGTTAATGTGCTGGTGTTCAATGCCATGCCACCTTTATAAAAGTCTGTGATCGTCTGAGTGGTGTAAATCAGGATGACATTGAATTAAACTGTTAAAAAAATTCCAGTGGCTATTACACTCAAGTGGCAGTTCTAAACGGTAGCAAATGAATAACTTCGAAGATGCAGACATTTGAAAAGATACATATTTACACTGCCACTTTCTAAGAATGATTAGAACTGGGTTGTCACTGTGATTACACCAAACCATCTACTGTGGTTCTGGAACATTCGGTGTGTTCATTTGTAAATGCTATGATGCTCCAGCTGATGTGAGGAAATCGAGATGCCACGAATAACCTCATATTTATACATTTATCCATATTTTATGCCAGAAGGACAGAATAGCTGCATCCCAAAATGAATTGTTGTTAAGGTTAGTGAGTCCCTGAGCAAAGCTTGTGTGGGGGAGGGGGGGAGCTCAATACCAGAAGAACAGTCCTCATACTTCCCTGCAGCAGGTCTATGGCATGTTCACGCAGGTGAGCAGGCGCTCTAGACATCTTTCTTCTGGTGTTTTTTCAGAGTCAGTAGAAAGGCCTCTTTAGTGTCCTAAGTTATGTCTTAAGGTCAGTTCCACAGGTGCATTTGCAATAATTGTTTTTGGTTCATTGCACATGCATGAAAAACATTGTCTAAACCCTTTCCAATAAAGATCTGTAAAGCTTATTTGGATTTTACAACATTTTCCTTAAACTACTGTCTCCTGAAAAAGGTACGTTTCTATTTTTGCTGTGTAAATTTAGCTCATCCATTTTATTTTGTCTCTTTATTATATATATACATATATATATATATATATATATATATGGTGATTATGAACAAGGTTGCATCCTCATAGCACTGATAGATTCAGTGCTGTTCTGAACATGAATGTTCCCGAGTGATAGAGTTGCAGAGATGGGTTCAATTTCCAGCATATACACACGCTGTTATCATTCCTCCAGTTAACGGTGTTTCTTTGAAAGGATGCCGTATTCAATTCCCTGCGGGGACAGCTGACGCTGGGAGAACAAATCACAGTGCAAATGTGTGACCGGTTCCATTTCAACAGTCTGTCTCCATCACATTACTCAACCAAATGTTTGCTGTCAAATATAAACATTTTCTCATATATCCTCTTTTAACTTGTGCCAGATTCAACTCAGTATCATAGCAAAATAGGTTCACTTACAATTCATGGGTTTGGTATTCTGGGTCTCGATTGTGCTTCCACTGTGATTTTATTGTGCACAGACTCTGAATGCACGTAACTTTCCTTGAGTAAATATTGATTTAAGTTGCTGACTTTAATACAGCCCTATATGTTTAAAGCAATAAAACATATAGGGTTAACACACTAGAGTTGATCATTTTCCTGTAATAACATGTCCCAAAGTGTTTTTTTTTTCTTTTTATTATTATTCTGAGAAGAAGGAGAACCATGGACCACTACAGCTCCTCCATAGAACAGTGAGCATGATTCTGACACACTGCAGCACACTCCTTAATAAGATTATAGATTACAGTACAACGCTGAGTCTCATTCTGTCGATTATATTGGGTATAGAAATCAAACCGCGCGGTTCTAATGTCACATTTCTACTACATCTCCCCTCATGCTGTTCAAGCAAATGATTATTGATTCAAGATATGACAAATTGATCCAGGTTTATCTTGCAAGAAATTACTAGGCCAGTCAGCAGAACTCTACTGGTTTCAATATCGCTCAGACTGTTTTAGAAGCAGATTCTGCAGTCACAGCCTCACTGTACATTTTTATTAGAATAGTCCATTCAAATATTTTAAATATTGTGGATCGGGGGGATGATCACACGCATGAAACTGCAATTCAGGGATTGCGAAAAATTAAGTGGTATTAAAATGATGGCATATCTTTCAAAGTCAACATTAAATACGTAAGAATAACTTAATTTTAAAGCCCTTGTAGTATTGCTTCCCGTTCATCAGAAAGGAGGAAGGTAGGTAGCAAATATTCACTATTTAACCTTCTAGTTCAAAGGTATATCCCATATAATACGCTTGTATATTCCTCTTGTATTTTTATTTTTTTGGTATTCGGCACTAATTCTGTCCATGTTCCTGTTGTTCATTTTGTTTATTACAGTGTTAATTTCATTTTTCACTTATTTAAAAGTGTCCTTTCAAATGGAGCTGAAGGTTCATTCAGGTAAACTTGATTTATACAGACAATGAAACAGAGATTTAAAATAATCTCAGATGAAGCAATGTAATTATTAATCTTACTTACATGTCAAAGCGAATCATTCTAATATAATAAGCGAATAACAAAGATTTGGGGAAATTTGTGTTAATAAAATCCAGCCATCCATAGCATGAACAATAATCATTTTCTCCTTCCATGAAATAAATTATACAGTCTGAAGCAGAGCATTTTGCCTTAAGCTGTGCTCTGATCTGTGATATTAATGTCACGATGGGAATTAAGCTGCCATCATCAGAAAGGGAAATGGAGCTGCCTCCAGGCGTAAAACATGCATGGTTTATTTCCTGCTCTTTTACACTCAAACAACAGGGCGAGAAGAAGAGAAAGTTGGCTTTCCTAGAAATAAATTTGTTCTGTCATGTGACCATTTAGCTGAATCGAATCCCTAATTTCCTTAGCATGTTTTCCCCCCAAATAAGAAAAAAAGCTCTAGATGTTTGAATGTTTTGTAGCACCTTCATTTTCTAAATCCTGAGATAAACTTTTTTTTTTTTTTTTTACAAATCCAGGATGAATATGAAATGCACCAGAAGCTGCATTTAATATATTAATATGCTAGAGGTTGTTGTGCAAACTCCATTATTACATTCACAGCCATCTTTCATAGCTCTGGTTCATTTACCATAAATCTGACTCGGCTAAATCCATCTGTGTAAGAGATGACTACGTACTTAATTTTGGCTGCAGGTACTTTGCACCCCGTGAAGTTCCTATTATGAATCAGCGTGTGTGTGTGTGTGTGTTCAAGCATGGTACCTGATTGACGACTCCAGATCGCCTCTGATGTAGTTTACGAACCTGATCTTGTCTAACCAGCGGCAGATTAAATAGAATCTCACACTTCGCTCGAGTTCAATATTGATCTTCGGGACATACTGCGAATCATAAACTGCCTGTTACACTGCTCGTGCTCGCTCAGGACGATTCGCCTCGTAAAATTAGATTAACGTCTTGCTGCTACAACGTGTGTTGTTTGTAACCATGGAGCTCTGGCGTTAGCTTGGAAATGTCTTGATGTCTTGGGTTATAGCAGTTTGTTAATCATAAGCATCAGTCAAACTATGACATCACAACATGTTTTCAGAATTGCATCCATAACCCTGGGATCCCTTTTATAAGTCTTTCTCACAAATTCAGCTATAAACAAATTACTCGCTAGAAAACTCTGTATTACTAAGTAGCTGCAACTTATAGTTACATCAGGAAACTTGTGTTATGTTGAGAAGCTGTGTCCAGTGCATCGGAGCAAGGTTTTATATTTCATACACCAAAGGTATTATTCACATACTCCTACACTGAAAGGAATCTGGAAATCTTGCAAACATCCAAGCATGGAACATTCAAATAAAATAACTAGATTTTATACTGATAAGTTCATTATATATTTATTTTTAGAAGCTATATATTAGCTACTACCATTTCTCATGTGACTAACACCCACAAGTGACAATATTGACAACAAAAGTAGAGACACACCACGAGAGACATGAGTGATTTGGCCACTTGGTAATGTGAATGTTGGGTTTCAGTTAAAATGCTGCCTAAATGGTACACGAATAAAGTAGTCTTATGGAATGCTGCAATAGTTTCGCAATCACTGGAGTTTTTGTTTGGGTCTCCTTTGTGCAGTCAACAATATTGCAACACAAGGATTCAATAAAGGAAAAAGGGTATTTTACAAGACAGCGATGACAGAATCAATAGAAACGATGTATGAGGCCATTTATTATCGCTGCCGCTGTTTTAGTGGAGGGTTCAGATGAGAAGTTTTGAGCTTTTCTTGTCAGCACATTTTCAGCTGAAATCAGATGGCGCCTTTGAAACGCTTTGACAAGTCCAGTTTGTCAAACAAAATTCGATCAACTGATCAGTCATTTCTATAAAGCAAATCACAATATACATACAATAGGACTGCTCGGAAGAAATAATGATTAAAAAATGGTTTTGATAGATGGTAGAAGGTTAGAAATCGATGTCGCAAATGCTGAAGAATTTCAAGTGAGAGGCAGAATTAGAGCTCATGGCTATTCTTAAAGCTTCATTCGTCTGAAATGTAATGAAATTGTGTCGGCTGTAACATTCCATCTAGCGAAGGAGGCACGGCCCTTGTTTTTCAGTCCCGGTGAAGGAGGTGTGGCCTCTGTATCAGTCAGTTCCAGTAAACTAGGCATGACTTGCCATGTGCTTGTCTGTCTTAATGCTATTATGGCTGATGGCAGACAGTAGAAGTTGGTATGAAAAAGGACTCATAAGTTTCAGAGCTAATGGCAGAAGTCTACAGATTTTTAATTATATGTAGTACATTCACATTCTGAAGTAGTTTTTGAGGTATCCATCCATCCATCCATCCATCTTCAACCGCTTATTCCTGCTTCAGGGTCGCGGGGAACCTGGAGCCTATCCCAGGAAGCATCGGGCACAACCTGGACAGCGGGGTACACCCTGGACAGGGTGCCAGTCCATCGCAGGGCACAATCACATACACACTCACACACCCATTCATACACTACGGACAATTTACCAAGCTGCCAATCAACCTACCATGCATGTCTTTGGACTGGGGGAGGAAACCGGAGTACCCGGAGGAAACCCCCTGCAACACGGGGAGAACATGCAAACTCCGCACACACATGGCCCCGGGGAATCGAACCCCGGACCCCGGACCCTGGAGGTGTGAGGCGAACGTGCTAACCACTAAGCCACCGTGCACCCGTTTTTGAGGTAAATTTACATTATTTGGTAGTTTTTGAGGTACATTCAAGTTCTGAGGTACTTTTTCATGTACATTTACATTCTGAGGTAGTTTTTGAGGTAAATTTACATTCTTCGATAGTTTTTAAGGTACATTCATGTTCTCAGGTAGTTTTTCATGTACATTCGCATTCTGAGGTAGATTTTGAGGTACATTCATATTCTGAGGTAGATCTTGAGGTACATTCACATTCTGGGGTACTTTTTGAGGTACATTCACATTCTGAGGTAGATTTTGATGTACATTCACATTCTGGGGTAGTTTCTGATTTACATTCACATTCTGAGGTAGATTTTGAGGTACATTCGCCTTCTTTGGTAGTTTGTGAGGTACATTCACATTCTGGGGTACTTTTTGAGGTACCTTCACATTCTTGGGTAGTTTTTGGGGCACATTCACATTCTTTGGTAGTTTTTGAGGTACATTCATTTTCCGAGGTAGGTTTTGAGGTACATTCACATTCTGAGGTAGATTTTGAGGTACATTCACATTCTGAGGTAGTTATTTATTTACATTCACATTCTGAGGTAGATTTTGAGGTACATTCACATTCTGAGGTAGATTTTGAGGTACATTCGCATTCTTTGGTAGTTTGTGAGGTACATTCACATTCTGGGGTACTTTTTGAGGTACCTTCACATTCTTGGGTAGTTTTTGGGGCACATTCACATTCTTTGGTAGTTTTTGAGGTACATTCATTTTCCGAGGTAGGTTTTGAGGTACATTCACATTCTGAGGTAGATTTAGAGGTACATTCACATTCTGAGGTAGTTATTTATTTACATTCACATTCTGAGGTAGATTTTGAGGTACATTCACATTCTGGGGTACTTTTTGAGGTACGTTCACATTCCTGGGTAGTTTTTGACATACATTCACATTCTTATGTAGATTTTGAGGTACATTCACATTCTCAGGTAGTTTGAGGTACGTTCACATTCTTAAGTAGCTTCTGAGGTACATTCAAATTCTGCGGCAGCTTTTGAGGTAAATTCACATTCTGGAGACGTTTTTGAAGTACATTCACATTCTGGGGTACTTTTTGAGGTACCTTCATATTATTGGGTAGTTTTTGGGGCACATTCACATTCTTTGGTAGTTTTTGAGGTACATTCATTTTCCGAGGTAGGTTTTGAGATACATTCACATTCTGAGATAGATTTAGAGGTACATTCACAGTCTGGGGATGTTTTTGAAGTACATTCACATTCTGGGGTACTTTTTTTAGGTACATTCACATTCTGAGGTAAATTTTGAGGTACATTCACATTCTTCTGTAGTTTTTGAGGTACATTCACATTCTGTGGTAGCTTTTGAGGTATATTCACATTCTGAGGATGTTTTTGAAGTACATACACATTCTGGGGTACTTTTTGAGGTACATTCACATTCTGCGGATGTTTTTGAGGTGAATTCACATTCTGGGGTAGTTTTTGACGTAGATTCACATTCTAGGGTACATTCTAAGGTATATTAATTTTGTCAGAGAAAGCGTGGCAGGTTGAACTGGAAGGTAATGTGATGATTTGATTCTATTTTATTTGTATAACACTTTTATTAATGGACAGTGTCTCAAAGCAGCTTTACGGAAACATATAACACAATATAGATTTTAAGTGTGTGAATTTATCCATAACGAGCGAGCTGGTGGCGATGGTGGCGAGGAAAACTAAAATTGATTTGAAGAAGAAACCTTGAGATTCTCACCTGTGTCGCATTACCATCAGCCTACTTATGTGTGTCTCTCAGAGCTTTCTCTGAGCTAAAGAAGAGTGAGCAAGAGAGTGGCATAGCTTGTGGAGATTGTAAACACACACACACACACACACACACATTCCCACCCACGCACTGAGTGTGACCTTGACCTTGAATGAGTTGAAAGCTGAGCTTGTGACAGCACCTTTTGGGTTGCATTTCTATTATTTTGGGTCTTTTCATTGAGTTTCTGAGAGTGTGCTGAAAAGCTCTGCTGAAAATAAAAGTGAGTCTGGAGCTCTGCTGATGTTTCGGCTGCCTCCTGAGGCTTTCTCTGTACCCATACACACCAGGTTGAAAATTCACATTCTGAGGTACAGTCTAAAGTATATTCTGAGGTACTTCGTGAAGTAAATTCACATTCTGAGGTACATTCACATTTTTTTTTGCCTTTGTTTATTTATTCATTTTCATATGATTCATTTACATGTGATTCATTTACGTATGATTCATTTTCATGTATTTCATATTCATGCATGTGATTCATTTACATGTAATTAATTTTCATGTGATTCATTTACATATTCATGTGATTCATATTCATGCATATTCGTGTAATTAATTTACATGTAATTCATTATTATGTGATTCATATTCATTCATGGGATTCATATTCATGTAATTAATTTACATATAATTCATTTTCATGTGTTTCATATTCATGTAATTCATTTACCTTTTCTCTCCTCCCTTCCCCAAATATTCACATTTTATATAATCCATTCATCCATCTTTTACCGCTTACTCCTTCTTCAGGGTTGCAGGGAGCATCAGCCACAAGGCGGAGTACACCCTGGACAGGTTGCCAGTCCATCGCAGGGCACAATCCATTTTATATTATCCATCCATCCATACATACATACATCTATCCTTTTCAGGGTCACGGTGAACCTGGAGCCTATCCCAGGAATCATCGGGCACAAGGCGGGGTACACCCTGGACACAGTGCCAGTCCATCGCAGGGCAAAATCCATTTTATATTATATATAAGTATAAAGCTACATTCTTATTCTGAGGTACACTGCGAGGTCAGTTCACATTCTGATGTACATTTTGCGGTAAATTTACATTGTGAGGTACATTGTGAGGTAAATTCACATTCTGAGGTACATTTACATTTTGAAATATACAGGTGCATCTAAATAAAATTTAATATTATGGAAAAGTTTTTTTTCCCTGTAATTTAGTTTAAAAAGTGGAACTTTCATATGTTCTAGATTCATTACACATAAAGTGAAATATTTCAAGCTTTTTTTTTTGTTTTAATCTTTATGATTACAACTTACAGCTCATGGAAATAAAAAATCCAGTATCTCAAAATATTAGTGTAAAGAATTTATTATACAGAAATGTCGACCTGAGAAGAGCTCTAATCAGATAGTTAACTCAAAACACTTGCAAATGTTTCCTTAGCCTTTAATCTCTCAGTCTGTTTCAGTACACAACCAAAATACATTTTCATATGAAAGTAAATGTTGCATTTCATTTTGAAATCAAGGTCCCAGAGTCTGGAGAAAGAGTGGAGAAGAATAGTATCCGAGTTCCTTGAAGTCCAGTGTGAATTTTCTACAGTCAGTGATGATTTGAAATGCCATGTCATCTGCCGGAGTTGGTCCACCATGTTATCTCAAGCCGAGAGTCAATGCAGTGTCTCCCAGGAGATTTTAGAGAACCTCATGCTTTCTATCTGCTGATGAGCTTTATGTGGATGCTTATTTCCTTTTCCAGCAGGACTTGGCACCTGCCTTCAGTGACAAAACTACTAGTAACTGGTTTACTGACCATGCTGTTACTGTGCTTGATTGGCCAGCCAACTTGCCTGACCTGAACCCCATAGAGAATTTATTAGAGACACCAGACCCAACAATACAGACGAGCTGATGGCAGCTATCAAAACAACCTGGTAGTGCCACAGACTGATTGCATCCATGTCAGGCTGCATTGATGCAGTAATTCCTGGAAAAGGATTAAAGCCTCAACTGAGTATCAAGTGCATAAATTAACATACTTTTCAGAAGGTAAACATTTCTGTATTATAAATTCTTTATTCTAATATTCTGAGATACTGGATTTTTGATTTCCATGAGCTGTAAGCCATAATAATCAAGATTAAACCAAATGAAGGGTTGAAATATTTCACTTTATGGGTAATGAATCTAGAATATATGAAAGTTCCACTTTTTGAATTAAATTACGGAAAAAAATAACTTTTCCCCCGATATTCTATTTGTTTTAGATGCACCTGTATTCTGAGATACATTCACATTCTGAGGTACATTGCGGGAACATTTCCATTTGAAGTATATTCTAAAGGTACATTCTTATTCTGAGGTACATTGTGAAGTCAGTTTACATTCTGAGATACATTCCGAGGTACATTGTGAGGTAAATTCACATTCTGAGGTACATTCAAATCTATCCATCCATCTTCAACCGCTTACTCCTTTTCAGGGTCACAGGGAACCTGGAGCCTATCCCAGGGAGCATCGGGCACAAGGCGGTGTACACCCTGGACAGGGTGCCAGTCCATCACAGGGCACAATCACATACACACTCACACACCCATTCATACACTACGGACACTTTAGACACGCCGATCAACCTACCGTGCATGTCTTTGGACTGGGGGAGGAAACCGGAGTACCCAGAGGAAACCCCCGCAGCACGGGGAGAACATGCAAGCTCCGCACACACGTGGCCCGGTGAACCACAGACCCTGGAGGTGTGAGGCAAACATGCTGGTACATTCGAATTTTGGAGTATATTCTGAGGTACATTGTGAAGTCAGTTCACATTCTGATGTACATTCTGAGGTACTCTGTTAAAACTGATGATAAGCAGCACCTCATTAATTCAGCTCTCTCTGTTCAGCGGTATATGTAAATGCATGTAAAAGTAGAAAAAGCATCTTCGTTCTGTAATGACACAACACAAACAGCTTGCACACACAGAGCTGTACTTTATGCAAACAAATTCCTCATTAACTTGTATACACACAACATTGTATTGTACAATTCCTGTAAAAACTGTGGCCAGTTCCTGAAAACACAGACGTCTGAAACATTGTCACACACCTGATAGTGAAACGATATCAGTTTCTATAGCAGTATGTAAAAGAGCTGAGTGGAAATACAACACAGAAGAATGAGAACAAGCAATGCACTTAATAACATGGAGAGAAAAAAAAACAGAAAGCATGTT